TCCCCGGAACAAAACAAAAAATGACAAATAGGAGCTAATTAAAGAGCTTCTGCACAGCAAAAGAAACTGTCAACAGAGTAAACAGACAACCTACAGAATTGGAGAAAATATTCACAAACTATGCATGTGACAAAGATCTCATTTTCAGAATCTGTAAGAAACAATTCAAGCAAAAAGCAAACAGTTCCATTAAAAAGGGGGCACACTTAGTTTCTTAAGTTGCCTGCTTTTTCCTCTTCCAAGTTGTACTTTCCTTTCTTTACTGTTGTAAAGCTTTTCTTTCTTTTTTTCTTTTATTTGAGACTGAGTCTTGCTCTGTCACCCAGCCTCGAGTGCAGTGGCGTGATCTCAGCTCACTGCAACTTCACCCCCTGGGTTCAAGTGATTCTTCTGGTTTGGCCTCCTGAGTAGCTGGGATCACAGGTGCCTGCCACTATGCCTGGCTAATTTTTGTATTTATAGTAGAGATGGGGTTTTTGCTGTGTGGCCAGACTGGCCTCAAACTCCTGATCTCAGGTGAACCACCTACCTCGCCCTCCCAAAGTGCTGAAATTACAGGTGTGAGCCACGGTGCCCAGCCATAAAGCTTTTAAACTTTAATTCCTGCTCCGAAAGAAAAAAAAATGGGTCAGGTACATGAACAGATACTTCTCAAAAGAAGACATACATGTGACCAACAAATATATGAAAAAATGTTCAACATCACTAATCATTTGAGAAATGTGAGTCAAAACTACAACAAGATACCATCTCACACCAGTCATGGCTGTTATTAAAAAGTCAAAAAAGGCCGGGCGCGGTGGCTCAAGCCTGTAATCCCAGCACTTTGGGAGGCCGAGGCGGGTGGATCACGAGGTCAAGAGATCGAGACCATCCTGGTCAACATGGTGAAACCCCGTCTCTACTAAAAATACAAAAAATTAGCTGGGCATGGTGGCGCGTGCCTGTAATCCCAGCTACTCAGGAGGCTGAGGCAGGAGAATTGCCTGAACCCAGGAGGCGGAGGTTGTGGTGAGCCGAGATCGCGCCATTGCACTCCAGCCTGGGTAACAAGGGCGAAACTCCGTCTCAAAAAAAAAAAAAAAAGTCAAAAAAATAACCGATGTTGGTGAGGTTGCAGAGAAAAGGGAACACTTATACACTGTTGGTGGAAATGTAAATTAGTTCAGCCACTGTGGAAAACAGTGTGGAGATTTCTCAAATAATGTAGAACTATTCGACCCAGCAATTCCACTACTGGGTATATACACAATGGAAAATAAATTATTCCACAGAAAAGATGCATGTACTTATATGTCCATTGCAGTACAATTTATAATAGCAAAGACGTGTAATCAAGCTGGATGTCCATGAACAGTGAACTGGTTAAGCGGGAGGTAAACATTGGATAAATACTGGACACAAAGATGGCAACAATAGACCCTGGGGATTACTAGAGGAGGGAAGGTGGGAAGGTTGAAAAATTACCTGTCAGGCACTCTGCTCACTACCTGGGTGATGGGATCATTTGTATACCAAACCTCAATGACATACAGTTTACCCATGTAACAAACCTGCATATGAACCCCCAAACCTTAAATAAAAGTTTTTAAAAAATGCCTCTGGAGACCAAATCTTTCTCTTGGTTTCTGATCTACCTTCTAGATGTTATCACATGGATTTCCTGCAAGTATCTTAAACTTACCAAAAACGGAATCCATTGCCTTTATCCCCATATTCTGTATTTGTTTTCTGTATATTGCTTAGTGGAAACACCATATACCTGGTTTCTCAAATAGAAATCTTACTGATACTGCCATCTTCCCTCATTCCTTGAAGATGTTTGCTCCTGGCTCACCCACACTCTCAGCAAATGACCTTGCGTGTCATTTCACTGCCAAGAAATGCAAGCAACCAGAAAAGACCTACAAGTCTACCATGTCTACCCAGCACTTCGGGAGTCTGAGGCAGGCAGATTACTTGAGCTCAGGAGTTTGAGACCAGCCTGGAAAACATGGTGAAACCCCCTCTCTACAAACATGTGCCAAAAATTAACAGGGCTTGGTGGCACATGCCTATGCTTCTAGCTACTCAGTAGGCTGAGGTAGGAGGATTGCTTGAACCAGGGAGGCAGAGATTGCAGTGAGCCGAGGTCTAGACACTGCCTCAAAGAAAAAAAACCAAAAACTGCTTGACCACTCTCACTTTTAGGCATTGCTTCTATTTTACTTGATCCGTTAGCAGCATTTGACACAGTTAATTCACTCCCTTTTGTCTGAAATACCTTAATACCTTCACTTAGCTTATATGACTACTTCTCTGATTTTTCTTCTTTTTCTCTGTTAACTTCTTGATCCCCTTTGCTGGTACCTCGTTTCCCTGACCTCTGTACAGAACTTTAAAGATCAGGACTTCTACTCTCATAGTCTTTGTGGTCACAACCACTTTGATCATCTTAAAAATACTGTCTATTTTGGTGTTTTATAAACCTTTTTTTTTTTTTTGAGACGGAGTTTCACTCATGTTACCCAGGCTGGAGTGCAATGGCGCGATCTCGGCTCACCGCAACCTCCGCCTCCTGGGTTCAGGCAATTCTCCTGCCTCAGCCTCCTGAGTAGCTGGGATTACAGGCACGCACCACCATGCCCAGCTAATTTTTTTTTGTATTTTTAGTAGAGACGGGGTTTCACCATGTTGACCAGGATGGTCTCGATCTCTTGACCTCGTGATCCACCCGCCTCGGCCTCCCAAAGTGCTGGGATTACAGGCTTGAGCCACCGCGCCCGGCCTATAAACCTTTTTTTTATTATTGCTCTGCGCCTTTTGACTTCTTTATTGCCTAATCACCCCATCCCAATAAAAATTTCTGTGCATCCTACGCACTGGGGTCACTTGGGAGGAAATAGGGGAGGGACGGTGGGGGGTGGGGAGTTGAGGAGAGATAGCAAGGGGAGAGATGCCAGATGTAGGTGATGGGGAGGAAGGCAGCAAATCACACTGCCACGTGGGTACCTATGCAACAATCTTGGATGTTCTTCACATGTATCCCAAAACCTAAAATGCAATAAAATAAATAAATGGGAAAAAAAAATTCTGTGCATCTATTTATAGGTTGTGGCCCTTTGGAGGGCCATAAACCATAATAATATCTGAGATCTCCCCTTCCAAAGAGCCAATTTTTACCACCTTGGGGATATCACCCCCTGAGAATGCATGATTTGTATTGACAATCCCCAAGCTTTTTTCTTCAACTTTGACCATCTCCAGTGTATTAGACAGCCTGCTTCGTATCTCGAACTTCATATGTACAAAACCAAACTCAATCTGACTTTAGCCTTTCTTGCCACACAGAGCTTCAGTGATCTCATTCTTCTTTATGTACCTTTTGCTCTAGCAGCACTGAATTTGAAATATACATTTTACCCTACTGGTAAAAGGGCTTAGAAGAGTGATCATTTATTCTCCTAACCCAAATTGGCCAGGCTTTGAAAGTAGAAATTTCCGTGACTCTGGGCCACTACCATGATAGGCTTCCCGTAAGTAGGGTGGAGCAGAAGTTGGGATGACAGAGTCCTGGGGGGAATAGTAACATTGCACTGACAGTTGAAAAACATTCCACAAAATGATCCCTGTGTCTCTTTAGGATGTATGCGTAAGAGAAGGTGGTATCTACATGTAGCTCTGAAAAGTTCACAGAATAGCATAGCTGTATTGGTATGGAATTCCCTTTTGAGTAAATAAAAATTTAAGCCAGGGAGCAATTAGATAGCATTGCTCGGTATATACAGGAGAACATCTGGGAAAGACAGTTCTTCAGAATATTGAACTATTAGCAACATGTTGCTTCAACAGCATCACCGTAAAAGTCTTTGGTATTCTAAACAGGAAATCTTTTATTCTTTAACACATGAGTAAAGATACATTTGGTATATTCTGTCACCCATGGGAATGTAGACATGAAGAATAGCCTATTAAGGCTCATAGGTTTTGAGATTATTAGTTTACTTGTTAATAAACTTCATGAAGTGTTATTTCTAGTACTGTGGGGTGTTTTGGTTACATTTTTACTGTTTCAACTAGAATCATAATCATATTACATTGTGACTTTAGAATTTTGGTTTTTATGTTCTCTTTACAAGTGATTTTGGGGACTGGTTTAACCCTCCCTTCCCCCAACCCCAAATATGCTGAATAGCATCAGGAAACTAGTGATTTAATACTTTTTAATGTTATCATAGATTCTTTATGGCATTTTTATTATTACTGTTACGCAAATTCAGAATGAAACTTTTCTAAAAAGTTGTACAATAGGCCTTTCTAAATAATAATGCCACCTTAATTGTTAGTGTGCAGCTCAACAAATCTGAAATTTCCCCATCCCCCAGAGGAACTGAGTGCTACTAAGTTTTCAGATCCCTTTTCAAAACAATAAATGAGGTAAGAATTTGAAAATTCATAGTTTGTGGCCAGGCGCGTTGACTCACGCCTGTAATCCCAGCACTTTGGGAAGCTGAGGTGGGCGGATCACGAGGTCAAGAGATCAAGACCATCCTGGCCACCATGGTGAAACCCTGAAAAAAAAAAAAAAAAAAAAAAATATTAGCTGGGCGTAGTGGTGCGCACCTGTAGTCCCAGCTACTTAGGAGGCTGAGGCAGGAGCATTACTTGAACCCGAGAGGCGGAGGTTGCAGTGAGCCAAGCTCGTGCCACTGCACTCCATCCTGGCGCCTGGCGACAGAGCAAGACTCTGTGTCAAAAAAAAAAAAAAAAGAAAAGAAAGAAAATTCATAGTTTGTCTTCAATATGAATAAAATTTGTCCCATTTTAAAGTTGTATTTTTTAAATGAAAAATCTTCGCTACATCATTTCCTTTTTTCTCTCCTCATGTCAAACTTTTAATGTCTAAGAAAGGAAATACGAGAACTTTTAATTTGGTTAAAAAACAGTGACATCTTAAGTGTGATAAGCCAAAAAGAAAGGTCTCTATGTTTGGCAAAATCACATTCCTCGGAGATTTACAAAACAGCAACAGCACTGTTAACCAGTGTCAGCTGAGACATGATTTATGTCCTTCTTGTTCCACTAAAGCTATTGAAGAAGGTGTAATGCTACATAGTCCTCATGAAGGATTCTTTTCCTCAGTGCTTAGATTAGCTAACACAACCTGAATATCAGAGTTTGAGACTTTGACTTCTGCTGGATCTGTTCCTGCTCTGCTGTATGACCTCCAACAAATCAAATTTCTTTCTGTCCTCATTTACTGGTCAGTGGCACCTAGGAACAAATTGACATTTACTGTTAGATTATAAATAAACTGCTTTGAGGTAGTTGGCAAAACCAAAATACAATGAATGACTACTAGTGTAGTTAACATTACTGTGTAGTTAACTTCCATTTTCTAAATAATGCTTTTTTGTAGCATCCTTCTCCTTTTAGTCTGTTTTAAAGCAGCATTTGACAGTCTTTGTTTTTCCAATTTTTCTCTATTTTGCTGTTATATGATCATAATATTATAAACTTATTAAAGAGAGGAATTGTTGTCATATTCTTGAAACATCCTTTTAGAATTCTTTTAATAAACTGAAGAAAGGAATTGTATCTGTTTTAAAAGACCAGCTTTAAAACAAACCTCTTTAGAGAATGAAAGCTAATTAACATGTTTTACTATGACTTAACTTCCAAAGATGGCAGTAAAATTTTTGAATTTGCATTCTACACTGGCAATTGGTTCTAATAACTAAATATACAATTGATTGGAACCACTATTTATGTATTTAATTATTATTTAATAAAAATGGGTCCAGGGACAGTGGCTCATACCTGTAGACCCAGCACTCTGGGAGGCCAAGGTGAGCAGATCACGTGAGCCCAGGAGCTTGAGAGCAGCCTGGGCAACATGGCAAAAACCCATCTCTACAAAAAATACAAAAATTAGCCCGGTGTGGTGGCAGGCATGTCTGGTCCCAGCTACTCGGAAAGCTGAGATGAGAGGATCCCTTAAGCTCGAGGCAGAGGTTTCAGTGAACTGAGATCACACCATTGCACTCCAGCCTGGGCGAGAGTGAGACCCTGTCTCAAAAAAGAAAAATGAGAAACTTATTATTTAAGACAGGTTTTAATCAATCACTCATATGAAGTGGCAAAGGTTTTACCATCAGTGTGTTCTAAGATAATTTATCTGGTGCAAAATGACTTGGAAGAAGGTACTTCTTTCAGGTATCTGTTTACCAACCCCTTTGAGTAAGCTTTTGTATTTTACTCATCTTCTGGAAAACAACATTGTTCTGCCAGACATTTGGTCTGAATGTGTGATTTTATAATTCAGAGTAATATTTATTTCTTTGTTCTCCTGAGAATGGATATTTTTATGCATGTTTCCCTCTTAGTCTCTGCTTGAAAGGTGCAGGAGATAACTAGATTTTATTAGCATATTTTTACAAGTCTATTTAAAATGCTTTCAAATTATTCGGCAGTATTCTGATTGAAAATGGAAGGAGTTGCTAGAGGTTTTATCAAGAATAGATACACTGGTAGCTCACGCCTATAATCTCAGCACTTTGGGAGGCCAAGGTGAGCATATCACATGAGGTCAGGAGTTTGAGACCAGCCTGGCTGGCGTGGCGAAACCCTGTCTCTGCTAAAAATACAAAAATTAGCCAGGTGTGGTGGTTCATGCCTATAATCCCAGCTGCTTGGAAGGCTGAGGCACGAGAATCGTTTGAACCCGGGAAGCGGAGGTTGCAGTGAGCCAGGATCATACCACTACACTCCAGCCTGGGTGACAGAGTGAGACTGTGTCTACAAAAAAAAAAAAAAAAAAAGAAAAGAATAGATACACTATATATTTTCATTTATTGGCATGTAAGCTAGATTTTCCTATTTTCATTACATGGCTGTATGCCTATGAATCACCAGTGATTACTAACTTTTTCAATATATATGTAAAATGTTTTAAATTATTTTTTTGTGGTAATATTTTATAAAGGCTTGATTTTGTTATATTTTTAAAATTTCTCATACTTTAAACAAAACAGATTTAAACAACTTCAAAGAGTTTGGGAATAGCCATTATGAACAGTCTTCTAACTGAAGTTTTATTTTTACTAATCATTTAAGTTGTGTTGTTCTTATACATATTTAGGTTTTGAAATTTTTATAAAGGTCTAGGCTGGGCGCTTTGGCTCACACCTATAATCCCAGCACTTTGGGATGCCAAGGTGGGTGGATTACCTGAAGTCAGGAGTTTGAGACCAGCCTAGCCAACATGGTGAAACACCATCTCTATTAAAAATACAAAAATTAGCCAGGCATGGTGGCATATGCCTGTAATCCCAGCCACTTGGGAAGCTGAAGCAGGAGAATCACTTGTTGAACCTGGGAGGCGGAGGTTGTGGTGAGCTGAGATCGTGCCATCGCACTCCATCCTGGGTAACAGAGTGAGACTCCATCTCAACAACAACAAAAAAAAATTATATATATATATATATATATATATATATATATATATATATATAAAGGTCTTAATATCTTAAAAGTATGAAGAGAAATTTTCATAGAAACATCTCAAGGGGAACTGATAAAAATAATGCTCACTTTGGGAGAAGACTTGTCATGTGTATGATCATATACCACAATCCTATGATTAGGGTAGTTAGAGGGAAAAACACATAGAGTTTGTAATCCTAGGTATGTCAGAAACAGCTGCAACCTTTTAAAAAAACTACTTGGGTCTGAAAAGAATTGATTGTTGCTTTTTCATATTTTTCCTAAGGTTCTACTATATCCTCTTAATAAAATACTTATTTTTGTTAGATTTTAAATATTCTGACTTTTAATGCTTGTAATGAAATTTTATTAGTATTCTTGGCTGACTTATTTTGGCTCTTGTCTCCTACATTTGCAACCAAATTATACTTTATATGCTAGACAAGGTTTATGCCAGCCTAATTGGTTGCTGGCATTTCTTAGCCTCACAGCTGCTGTGAACTCAGCTGTGAACTAGAAAACATATAATAGGATCCTGTTTTCAGAGACCAAAAGGCAATTGTCAACATGTAAAACTTGTTTTTGGCAGCTCAATGAATATATGAGCTTTTATGACAAATTAAATAGCACTAATATCAGATCTTAAGTAATTATCTTAAAGATTAGAAAGTCTTGAAATATGAATTTATTCACTGAAGCAAAGATGGCTTAGATTTGCATCTATGTTCTGTTCAGTCATTTGTGGCTTTTTTTCTTTTTAAAAATCATATGTCTTGATATTTACCAACAGATATTAAAAAGTTGAGATCTGAACTGTTTGCCCTATAATTTCACCCTAACAAAAAATTGAGCCTTAAGTGAGGTAAAGATATTTCTTAAAATGAACTAAACATAAAATGACTTTGATTAAAGATTTATATTTCAAAATATTTATTATGTTTATATTCTTTGATGTAGCAGATTTTATTTTTATAAATTTTTAACATCTAAATTTGGAGTGAACCATTACTTTGTATTACATTGAACCATATGAAATTGTCATTTTTTTAGGTCAAATGGTTGAATGTAGACTAATGGGGAAAAATGGCAGTATATCAACATGAACTCCCTAGCCAAATTCAGAAATGTAACCCACGGTTATTTACCTTTGTATAAGTAAAATATCATCATGTGTGATCAATAAACAATGAGATTAACAAATCAGATTTATATATAGTAAATTTTTTTCTTCCATTATAATTGCTTTTTGCTCATTTCCATTATAAATGTTTTCTTCAACATTTTTTTAAATGTTTAGGGACTGTCAGCACTAAGCCAAACAAGGACTAAACAAATATGTGAGAGGCTGTAGAAATATATTAAGGACAAGCAAACTGTGTTAGTAAATGGCTTATACTGAATATAATAAAAGCATCATCCTTTGCCTACATTTTGTATTACTTTGATACTTGGCATGATTTTTTATGTCTACTGTGATTCTAACAGTCTATTGATTATATTTGGAATGTAACTCCAGACTTTTCTTGCATACTCTTTTATTTAAAATGAGAATTTAGTTTTGTCACTTACAAATATAAATCTTTCCTTACATAAACATTGGCTGGAAATATCTTGCATTGTGAGAAAAGTACATTTTAGGAAATTTTGGTATTAAAAACCAAGAGGCGTTCTATTGGGAAAATAATGATTGGGGAGCTATTCTGCAGGGTTTGCCTATGCTTTCCACAACTCTTTGTGAGGCTGAGGTGGCAGTGGTTACCACTGGAGTAGGTTGCTGGGAGGTGTTGAGGGAGGAACAGTGGCTTGTACTGAGGCGGGGGGAGGGTATCAGGAAGGAACAAAAGAGGAAGATGGCGACATCAGGGGCAGGGGCAAATGAGCCTTGTTTGGCCACAGCCTTGGCTTACAATCTTTGCAAGTTTAGTGAGATCATGCTGCAGAAGCAGCGTCAGGCTGAGGACACAGCAGCCCTCGAGGAGATGATAGTGGATATCGGCTTCATCCAGTTACACACTCAAAAATTGCAACTGCCATACACGAGGGGCTCCCATTATGGTTGTTCTTTGCCTAATATTAACCAGATTCGTTTCAGCCTGGCCTAGTTCCAGAGCCCCCTCCACTCACCTTTTAATTAATCTCAGGGCACTCGGCACCACAGGCTGGTAGAATGGGTACAGCCAGATCCCCACAGAATGGTGTCGCCACCCTCCCAATACCCTATCACACTGACAGCTCTCCCTATAGTTCTGCCTACTTATCTCCTCCCCAAGTGTCCAGCTGGTGAAGGACTATGCCCTGGGACAATTTCCCTGCAGAGAAGAGGTACCTGTTTTACCCAGCATCTGCATTTAACAAGACAAGCTCTGACTCTGCCTTTCATACAAGTGTGATGAACCCCAGTCCCCAGGATATTTATCCAGGCCCCATACCTTCCAACAACCTGCCCAGTCAACATTTCTGTTCAGGTGAAATGGACTCTAAAGTACGTGCTATTGAGAAGTTCTCCTAGGTGACAAGCATTTGCTGAAGCCATGGGATACTTAGAAGCTGTTGTCATCTTCCTCCTGACCCTGGTCCTTATGAAGTCCCTGGAATTAACATCTTTCCATCTCCTGGCCAGCCTGCCAATGTGCCTGTCCTCTCACCTGCCATGAATACTGGATGTGGGAGGAGATTCCTACCTGATCTCACCAATTCGCACTTTCTACCAACACTGCCCACGCCCCTGCACCCTGAGGAGACAGCCTACCCTATCCTTAATAGGTACAACAGTACCTCCAATTTGACCC